GACATCAACATCTAAGCACCTTTCAAGTTGGCCCCCATCACTAATTGCCAAACCCCTTGATGGCTCCCTCTTAGCCTCTGGGAAAACCTTGTCATTGCCTATTATGGCCCAAGACTTTGCTTTAGCAGTTTGAGCCTTGGTGCTAGCCACCAATGTCGTCTCCTGACATTATCCTCTTAAACTTTTAGCCATCCTCCATCTTGATATTATTGGCTTATAACAACTACCCCAATGTCTTTGACTAATTATACATTGCTTGACATCGATTTCTCAATGCTGGTCTTATGGGATCCCTCATAGCTAGGTTTCCTTCCTAGACATCTCTTTTGTCAGATAGTGTCCTCTTAGGGATACCTTTTGTTAATTGATTTCAAATTAGAATCCCTTGTTATATGGCATTCATATCTCAAAATTGGAACTAAGGCATTGGCTTCCTTCTAATCACCTTCAGCAAAAAACTTCCTACCAACTAGTATCCCCATAGATCCTTCCTTTTTTATTGGTTGCAACTTGCTAGTCCCAATCTTAGCCTAACTATGCATTTAAAATCTGTTTATTTGGTGGCATCTCTATTTGACAACACTCTTATCTAATACCATCTAAGCACACTTCTTTGACTAACAACTTTTATCTATTAATTTACAATTTTAGTACTTTCTAGTTGATAAAACTTTGCCCATGCTCTCGATAAACACATTTTTTAGCCTTGCTCCCTTGGGTCCATCTGGGATTTCATTATAGATACAACGCTCTTTTATATCAATGCCTAACACCATACAAATATTGTGTGAATATATAGGCTATTAAAATAGACTAGGATCTGCATGAATGTTGCAATATGGGAGAAAGGAAGATAACAATAATGCAAAAAGAATACGTTAGATCTTTTATTAATAAGAATAGTATTATTTTTATAATTTCCATTACTTTTTTACCATAAGAAGAGTAATATGCTTTTCATAATTTTAATTACTAAAAGACAAAAATAGTTTTTAATGTCGATAGAATTTAGATAGAAAAATCATTAGATAAAAGGTCGGGGAACCAATCCAATAATTTTGTGTATGAGAAGTCCTTCAAAGTTTAAACTACCAACTTGTAGGTTAATAAGATATGAAAATTTAAATTAATTATTTTTTAGTAATGAAAGACAAGGATAATTGATTAATTTAATGATTATTTATTAAAATGCGCCACTAATAATATTTATTATTTATTTTTAAACTAAGAAAATCATTGGCATCTTCTACTGGAATTATTGTCCTAAGAACTAACGAAAAATGATTTTAGCATTTGTGATGATTCCTACAACATTATGATTCTTTAGCTTGTTTTGTTGTCATGTGAGAGGCTGATTTTTTTTTTAATTTACATGCTTTCAAAACAAATATTATTGAAAATTCATCATAGTTTTATCTCAAATGATTGGTTGGCCATACATGATTTTATGCTATGAGGGCTAATAATTTTTCTTTTTAATAATTAGACAACTTGATTTAACATGAATAGAATTTTCCAATTATTAGTAGTTGAGGGTATTGACCAAATATATCAATCTAAATCCTAATTTTGGATAGTCTGATGATAGAGTCCTAATCCAATTGTTAGTATTCATAAAAATGCTCCATAGAATGCTAATGAGCCTACTTATATGACAATATCTTTAAGCATTCTAAGGCTTCGTTTGGGATGGCTTTCTTAGTGCTTCTTAAAGCAACTTTCTAGTATAAAAATTAAAAATTTTACACTAGAAAGTTGCTTTAAGAAACAGTAAGAAAACCATCCTAAACGAAGCCTAAGTCTCTCAAGGCCAAAACATCTTATGTTTCTTTTTTTGGACTCCACATATCATCCTTCATTTATGTTGAGTGCTTCCTCTTAATATTCTTAAACTCTTTCCTTTAAGAGCTTTCTATGATATTTGAAATATTAACTATGATTTTTTGATCAAGAGTTTTTTTGGAGCTCGACTTCATATGATCTTTCTCTTATGAAGAACCTGAACTCAAAACTAAATAAACCTTACATAATTCCTTACTCTAAGAAAGAGAAAAAAATCTACAAAAAAAAAAACTATTATAAATTAATTTGCATGTCTTTTTCAATGTGAATTATATTATTTTTATTTTTCTAAAGAAATACTAATTACTCATTCATTACATATCTTCAGTTCTCATCGGCTCTCTTTTATGGGGAATTCTATTGTAATTCAAAGGGCAGATTAAAATTAACCAAAATTTCACATGTGTGGAGCAATTGGTGGCGATTTTAGATTATTTGAATGCCTAAAGAATTAGAGGGCCTTGGTTTCTTTCAAAGAATTTGTATTAGGTTGAGGCTTTCAACTCATATCAAAACTTGATTTATTGTGATGTATTGTTTAGGCATTTAATAAATCCTAAAAGTACATCAAAATTCACAATTTTCAAATATATATATATATATATGATGAAAATTACCAAAGAATATCTACAAAAATTGCTAAATTACTAAAATATCAAAATTAACTCCCAAAATTTCTCCACACTTCTCTTATTTATCCGAGTATAGCTAACCAAAGTCTCGTGACTGTTACTCATCTAGTCATTCTAATTATGCAAATTTAAATTTATTTTCTTAAAGAGAAAAACAACATAGTATAATCATATTTCATATAAATACACACACTTGCACTCCTCTTTCTATATAATCATAGATTTGTTACTACAATATGCACAATATTTTCAATGCTAATGTATAAGCATCTTGAGATTTATTAGGAATTGTGTAATAAATATTGTATTGGGGGGTCAATTGGAAAAAAAACCTATTTATACATAGTAATAATTTTTTAATGTTACTTGTGATGTGTTGGGAGCAAAGCCAATTCTTTTTTTTTTTTTTATGAAACTACCAATTGCATTAAAAGCAAGAAAGAAAACAAGAACAAAAAACTAAGTGATATCTATCCTATCACTTTCCTTCTTTAACAAAGAATAAAAAATAAGAGGAATATTATTAACTTCTAGAACATCCCAAAAGAAATCACCTTTCAAAACATAATTAGCACACCAATGAGCTAACTTGTTATAACTTCTATTAACAAAATGAAATAGAATTACATCAAACTCCTTCAAAAATTCCAAGTCCTCTCTCATTGATTGGTCCACCGCTCGATTGTCAAGACAAACCGAGTTCTGTAAATGCCTAATGACATTAAAATTGTCTCCTTCTACAATCAAGCCCTTAGCATCCATCATCCAATCCTTGGTAACTCTTCTCAACGAACGGAAAGCCAGTAACTCCAAGTATCCAATGTCCTAGTGCACCACCGAGAATCCAAAAGAGAGAAGCAAAGTCAATTCAGTGACAAGATAGAAGCATAAGAATCTATAGGAAAGCCTTCCCGCTTTGATGGTAGAATGAGAGAAGTTTTTTACCTTCATTTATAAGGGAGTATTTATAAAGATGATGGTGAAACTAGTTTAGCACTTTTGTTAAGATGGATGGTGGATGGAGGTGATACCACATCTTTGAGATTTGCACTAGACCAAAATGCCCTTGGGTGAAGAGTATTTTGATCCTCCAACTTATCAAAGGGTTAAAGAGTGAGATACTTTATCTATGATATCCGTGATGAATTATTACGCCCCTAGAGATGGAGAGATTATTACGTGCGGAGTCCGGACGCAGAGAACCGTTCGGTTTTGTAATCGTGAACAATAAAAGCGCAGTTACTGTTCACGATCACAAAACCAAACGGTTCTCTACTTCTATGTTCGGACTCTTCACATAATAATCTCTCCTAGACATGATACACGGAAGAATAAAAGTTTTAAGCTACCATGCTAAATCCTGTAATTCAGATTGTGAAATCTCTATTCTCACCCAGCTTTTGATTCCCTCGTCACTTTAAGCATAATTCAACTCGACAACAATAGATATTTGATTTTTTGCCAAATATCATGCTTCATATCATTGACTTAGTTGTAGTGATAGAATTAAGATTTCTAATGAGAATGCGCGACAGAATTTATCCAAAACTTAAGATGGCGAAGCTTCCATAATATACATTATTATAAGAGAATTTAATAATAAAATGTTTAAATCAAATATATATAACCGCGTTAGAGTTTTCTCAATCTAGAAAAAATTGAAATTCACCCCACCCACCTACAAACCGCCACTTGTCCAACGTTTTGTTTGGGGCTCCTTCAAATTTTCAGTTTTTATTTTTGAAAACTCATTCAAAAATATATTTTTTTTCAAAAATAACTTTCTAAAAACAATAAAAAAATTTATCTTTCAAGTACACATTATTTTTTTATTAATTTTTTTAAATGAAAGTACTTAAAAATTATTCCAAACAAAGTCTAATTGTTATAATAGTCATAACTTCCGCTGCTTCTGGACCCGAGTTTCCACTAAATAGTAAGAGTCATTCAACTCAGGCTTCGTTTGAGACGGCTTTCTTACTGTTTCTTAAAATTTTTGTATTAGAAAAATATTCTAAGAAAGAGTAAAAAAGTCATCCTAAACTAAACCTTAGCCAAAGTCTCAAGAGTTTTTCATATTTTTTATGTGAAAAATTGTATATCCTTTCACCTGCTTCAGTTTATTTATCTAATTAAACTTGTAAAATCTAACAAAAAAAATACAATCAATTGAGATTACTAAACAGTCTTCCAGATCAATTTCTCAACTCTAACAACACCCAACTTCTCTGATATTTCTTCTCGTTAATCAAACTAATACAATGATAAATTCACCCCCTAGCAGGGATGAAATCAGCCACTTTTTTTGACGGTGGGCGAAATAGAATTGTAAAATACATAATTTTATGTATGAAATAAAAAAGAAAATATTTTCCTAGAATTTGATCAACTCTAGTTATGGTAGATAGACAAAATAGTTAAAATTTTATTTTTCTATGAAAAAAAAAAAATAGAATGAATAATTAGCCTCCCTGAGCTCTTCCTAGCTCCGCCTCTTCAGTGATCAATGAGCTCACAAGATCCTCCTTAAAAAATTTTGGACGTATCCAATGAGCTCTCAAGCGCCTCTGCCCTACACAGCGGGCAATTATCATGCCTGAGAAGCCACACATCAATGCAACCAACATGAAATACATGCTTGCAAGCCGGAAGCCGCCGGACTTCATCGCCGTCGACGAGTTCAGACAGGCAAACAGAGCATTCCCCGGCAAGCTGATTTTCCTCCCTTCTTTGGTATCTGCTGACCGGAATCCGGCGATTCAACTCTTCTCTTCTCCCTTTATATGTCTTAAGTCCTGCAGTAATGAGAAAGGCTTCAAGCTCATGCAGTGGAGAGGGAACAAGAATGATTATGGCTGTTGCAATGAGAAGGAAGACGGCAATAAACGCCATGCCGACGAGGAAGTTGATGCCGTTAGTAACAGATAGGTAAGCCATGGAGCTTTAGGAGAGGGATAAGAAGTCGATGTAGGTGAAAGGCCGGTAAACCTCCATTTATATAGATTTTATCAGTCCTACTCAGTCAATATAGTTTTAACAAACATTATTAAATTTCAGAGTGTACTATTCATTCATTAAATTTTTAACATCATATCAATATTGTAAAATGGATACATTTGGATGGTAGAGCATGCATTGCTCATTTTCTAGCATAAAGATGATTAGGGGTACAATTTCAGATAACGGGTCGTTGGATTTGGGTTGAACTCAGAACTAATCAGGTACTATTCGGATCAACTCGAATCAGATCCGTTTTTGTAAACGGGCCGATTTTTTGGACCTGAATCCGACCAGCTTTGGGTCCGGGTCAACCAGACACGACCCTAATGACCCGGTACAGACAAAAAATTGCTAATTTCGAGTCAAAAAATGGGTTAATATCTGATTTTCGAGTAAAAATGGGCCACAATTGGTCAATCTCGGGTTTCCCGGTCAATCGGGTTACTGGGTCAATCTGAATCCGACCCGATTTTTGAAACTGATCGATTTGATGTACCCGAACCCGACCCATTTCAGATCCGGGTTGACCCTTACTCGAAATATTCGTGTCGGATTTGAGTCGAATTTTTGGGTCGTATTTGACACTCCTAAAGATGATGTAATTTCGGCCTAATTTTCTTATTGTATTAAGTTTGTCATACATGTGAAGTGGACATGCATTAAGGGCATGTAAATTGAGTTGATTAAGCTTATTTAATTAAAATATAATATTTTAGGTGTTGACTATTTTTAAACTTCATAATTGTATTTTTTTTCTTTTTTAAAATATAAAAATTAAATTTTGATCGATTATCCAGAGTTTTAAAAAGTTCGTTTAGAGAAATTTGAGTTTATCTCTATCTTTATGCATGGTTTTGATGGACCAGAAATCTTAACATAAAAAAATTTGGGATATTTTAGAAGAAAAAATCAGAGAGAAGATCAAAATTCTTAAAACTACTATGTTCTCATCAGCTTTCATGAAAGTTATTTTTGTTCTCCTACTTTGTAATCATCTTTATAAAAAATTATAATCATTGATTTTGTTTGGAGCAGTTTTTTTTTTTTTTTTTTTCTTCATTCAGACTACAATCACACCTCTATTAGGCTACTATTTTCTAGGTTATTTTTTTTTTAAAATTCTATTATAAAAAGCTTAGTTTTTTTTTAGTCAGACTCAGATCTACTAATATCTATTAAACATAAGAAATTAAGCTAATATATATATAACAATTTTTAAATATTTATTTTTTCCACAATAATATCATGGTCATCTTTACAAAAAGCTCGACTTGCATAAAGAGATCTTAAGGTTTCGTTTGGGACAACATTCTTAATACTTTTTAAAATAACTTTTTAGTACAACAAATAAAATTTACGTACTAAAAAAATTCTTCAAGAAGCAGTATGAAAGCCGCCAAACGAAGCCTAAATTTGGATTTTTTTGGATCAACTTTCTAAGAGCTCTATTTTTTTAGAAAAGTATTATGCTTATAACTTGCCATTGCTTTAGTACTACTTTCTAAAAAAATTGGGGCTAAGAAACTGCTTTTTATGATTATATTTGTTAATATATGATGGATGCAACCAGAATGTTATCCAATTAAAAAGAAAAAAAAATAAATTTTTAATACCCACAACAGCTCTAAAAAAAATTATTTTCCTCATAATAACTTCACATCCACCTCTACAAAAAGCTACAGTCACCTCAAAGACTCGAACAAACGAGAAATTATTCTGTGCGGAGACCGTACGCAGAATATCGTCCAGAGACCAACCAGAATGCACCACGTCAGTGATATGGAGCAGTACCAAGCCGCGATACCGAACAAAGAGGTGACATGACGCATTCTAATTAATCTTCGGAAGACGTTCGGCGTCCGCACAAAATAATTAATCCAAACAAACAGACACTTAATTCCGTAGCTTTCAGTATAATTGGGTGATGATATTCCATCTTTCTAACAGTCCATACATATTGTAACTCCACTAAAGAATGCTTTGAAACATTTTTATTTTGCCAGATTAAAAATTACAGCTCAATGAGAGCTGCGTTTGCTCTGTTAAGTGGCATTAAATTAAAGAAATCCCTCGCATTATTCTCTCCTAAGAACTAACGCAACCAGTTTTTTTTCTATTTTCAATACATTGCTTCAGCTTTCTGAAGCATGTGGAGGCCATTCGAGCACCCAACTTTGCAGCAAATAAATATACTTAATAATTGTTTGGCTATGTTTGTTTTTCCATGTCGTTAAACAATAAAATTCTTCATGAAATTACTAAGTCCAGCTCTTCTTAATTAACAAATGGAGATCAGAAAGGTTAGCAGAACACAAAACAGAACAAAAGACAGCTTAGAGCTAAGAACTTGGTCATCTCATGTCATTCTCCTGCGTTTCAGCGCAACTAATTGCGCATTAAAATATTGAATTGGATATTATCACAAAGTCCTGGAATGCGTGTTACACAGACATCAATAAAATAATTATATATTTATAATTTTTATTTATTATTTTGTACTAAGCAGCAAGGAGGAAATGCTCCACACTATACAAAATTTACTGAAAACCGGCGGAACTTTCAGCGGTCATTTGATTACCGGAATTATCATCGATCTGATTGCCGCTATTTGTCGGCGACTTGACCGCTCGAAAAAAAGAGTAAACCTCCAGAAGTTTCGCTGGTAATTTTTTTCATGATGTATTTTCATGATGTAAACCGCTGGAAACGTCATTGGTAAGTGCCCTAAAACTGACCCCCCTCTTTTTTTCTCATTTCGCCTGGCTCGTTTGGTTCATCTAAAGAACGCTCCCGCTTGCCGAAACCCGCACCCGCGCTCACCGGTTATTTTAATTTGCCTTGGCTGCCAGAAACACAGGCGGTTTGACCGCCGGTAATAACCGGCAGTTAGCCGGCGGTATTTGCGTCAGAATATTCCAGCGATTTTGGGCTAAGTAATTTCCGGCTGTAATAGCCATCGAAAAACTGCCAAAAAATATTACCGTCAGAAATCTACCTCGAGTTTAGATTTTCTACCAGGTTTATTCCGATGGTTTTAAAACCGCCAGAAAATTGACGTTTACCACCGGAAATCGCCGCTAGTAATGAATAATTTTCCTGTAGTGCCAGTATTAATTTTTGCACTTGAATAATTTCTAAATTCCTGATTATACTAATGCTTGCATTAAAAAAAAAATTATTCACAATCAAAGAATAACAAAAGGCATTACTCCTATAGATCGCACATCAATATTAGATACCATCATTTGCTTGTTATTACTATGTTAAGCAATACACATCTCTCATATTTATAAGCTTAGATTAAAGCTTCGTTTGGTTATTCTCCACCTTTTATAAAAGTCAGTTTTAAAACAATTGTTTGAGAAAACGGAGTTTTCAAACGGAGAAGTAAATACCTTAAATCTTTTTAAAACAGTACAAAAATTACAGTTTCCCAAAAAGTATTTCTGCAAAAGTGTCACAAACAAACAACAACAAAAAAAATTCTCCATTTCCAAACGGAGAAGGCAAAAAAACGCCCAAACAAACAAAGCCTAATGCTTTATTTGGGACACTTTTTTATTGTTTTTTTTTAAATAGTTTTGAAGTACAAAAATTTATAGCTCAAAAAAATTTTGTACACAATTTTTTAATTTAAAAAACAGTAAAAAATGATTTGCATAAAATATGAAAAAATTCTATTAAATATGAAAAAATCTCATTAGATGAACCTTAATTATGGCATAAAAGACTATCATGCTAGCATGTATACGCATATAAAATCTCAATATTTGATTCAATATTGAGTCCACTTTTTAGAACATAAATTTGAACAATCCTATAGTGCGATACCTATCGAAAAATATGATTTGCTTGCTATTTCTACATAATCATTGGGTACTGCATTTATGGGATTCACTTGCCACCTTTTCAATTATTTAATCCTTCAACATCAAATGCTTCAAGTGTTTCTCAAGCTTTTTCCTCCAAGTGCTTTTGTAGTTCTTTTAGTTTCTTCCATAGTGAGAAATGAGGGTTCTTGCTTGTCCTTATGAAATTCGACTATGGGCAATTGAAGATGACTAAGCAAACAATCGTTACTGCCAAACATCAATTAGAGATCCAAAAATAATACTTTAATAGAGCATTCCTGATGTAGGAACCTGCACTAGAAACGTTAAGTAAAACAGAGAAATTCAATGGAACAGTAGCTTGTTCCGAAATCTGCACTGGAAGCAGAAGTTCTGTATTAGAAAACTTGAAAAACTAAACTTGCCTTCTTCCTCCTATCGCCTAAGTATAACCAGCAAATAGTGGAGGAACTATTGGAAAAGAACTTAATACAACATAGTTTGAGCCCTTGTGCCGTACCGGTTTTGTTGGTACCAAAAAAGGATGGTAATTGGAGAATGTGTATGGACAGTCGGGCAATTAATAAAATAACTGTGAAGTTCAGATTTCCTATGCCACGAATGGAAGAAATGGTCGAAAGGCTGGCCGGCTCCTCAGTTTTTTCTAAACTAGATCTTCGCAGCGGCTATCACCAAATACGAATCAGGCCGGTGACGAGTGGAAAACAGCTTTTAAAACAAGGGAAGGTCTTTATGAATGGAAGGTAATGCCTTTCGGATTATGTAATGCTCCTGCAACCTTTATGCGGGTGATGAATGAGGTACTCAAACCATTTTTAAATCGCTGTTGCGTTGCGTATTTTGATGATATATTGGTTTTTAGCCACAATCTGGAGGAGCATTTAAACCATTTGACTGAAATCTTGAAGGCACTAAGAGGAAATAAGTTGTATTTGAATACCACAAAATGTGAATTTGCTACAGCTATGGTTTCATTTTTGGGCTTCAGAATTTCGGGTGAGGGCATAAGTGCCGAACCAGCAAAGGTTAAGGCCATCCGAGATTGGCCAACGCCTGTGTCATTCACCGACATCCGTAGCTTCCACGGGTTGGCTAATTTTTACCGAAGATTTATTAAAGGCTTTAGTATGTTGATGGCTCTGATAACAGATGTTTTGAAAATGAAGAAATTCATGTGGGGTGAAGAGCAGCAATTGAGTTTTGAGAATGTCAAAGATGCATTGACCTCTTCCTCCTATCGCCTAAGTATTCTTTTTCACAGGAAAGGACTAAAATGGCTAAACTATTAAAAAGCAAACACATGGCAGCAGAGAATAAAAAGGGAATATAGGTAGTGGAAACATCCTAACTAACAGAAAGTTGAGTAATGCTAATAAGTTAAACCGCAGGAGTCCGGTGGTAAAATGCTCCGCATCAATTCCCTGTGCTATCTAATGTATGTTGGCAACTCTTCTCTGCTTCCATCCAACACACACTTTGCTAGACATCATAACAGACTTTTGTTTATTGACTTTTTGCCCAATCCAAAAACAGTAATAATGGAAAATCTGTTTTATCTCCATAGGAACCTTCCTAGAAACATCAGCAAACACTAGAATATCATCTGCATATAGCAGATGTGTAATCTTTTTTGAATTTCCAGTGATTTTGATCCCAATTTGTTGCCCCATCTGCACAAATGCTTTAGACAGTAATTCTGAACAAAGTATAAACAAATAAGAGGAAAGGGGACACCGTTGGCGAAATCCACAGCAAGTTTTAATCCAAGGTGTTCTAAGTGTCATTTCAACTATCATATGCTAAGTGTCAATACGACTGGGTGAGATTTTAGGCCTCATTTAGGATCTTTGATGAAATTTTGTCAAGAACTTAGTTTTTCATTGTTAGAATTGACATTTCCTTATGAGATTTAAATGAGAATTTAATTCTTAATCGGACACAATGGAGAAAAATGATTCATGTAGCCGACCCCATATAGTAGGATAAAGGCTTGATGTTGTATGTTGTATGTTGTAGCTTAGTTTTTCATTGTTTCTTTGATTGTAACCCCTTTTAAGATGGTAAAGAAGGGAGTTATGTTTGGTTCTTCAATATGATTGACAATATAGTAGTTTCTACTTTGATAATTAGAGTGTTTAACCTGTGCATTGTATTTTAGGGTAAATAACTTCATAGTTCTTAGGTTCAGCAACAGTTTTTAATATCTTGCATCATATCAGTTATCATTTATGTCACTTACAGGAAATTAGTTCAATGTGTTTCATTTTCATAACATGAGATATGTCCCCTACGGCGTCTATATAATTGACTTTACAAATATGCAATTCTAAGGCTTGACTGTTGAAGTTTTCTTATGTAAGTATTTTCCATCTATTTTAGAGTTGTTCATAGACGTTTCTTAGCCACCATATGCGAAGCCAGGAGTGCAGAAATGAATAACTTAGTTCAAACCTACTTTTCAAGGAGTAAGACTAGCTTTGGCTTCTAAGTTCTCAAAGTTTTCTTTTTTTACTTTTACTTGAGAAGAACTCAACAATACAATTGAACTTAGAATTTTATTTTGTATGTATTGTTGGGTTTGACTTAAAAGTTGTCTAGGATTTGTCTTTGTTAAGAACAGTATTGATACGTCATCACAAATTTATCTTGATCGGGCATGAATCTCAACGCTAAAAACTAGTTGGAAACTTCAAAGATTAAATTCAGGAGCATCTGAACTCCGATTTCAACGAGCTTATGGTCAAACTGAGCGTCTCGAAAACATGAACCCAATGACACCGAATTCGACCCAATCCAAGCCCAAATGGATCCGAATCAAGGACCCAAAGCGCTGTTGGAAGGTTTGAATCACAATTTGAGTTACCAAACGGTCTCTGATTTTAACAAACTTATACTCGAATCGAACGGCTCGACGAGACGAATCCAACGAGCCCAAGATCGCCGAATTCCGACATCACTAAGGCCTTTAAATGTCAAACGAACGGTGCACGATCGTAGGATTCAATATCGGCCGTCCATTCGACCACTCCCTATTCGCCCCTGATCTCACGACTATTTACGAGCTATTTCACTCCAGAAAAACTATAAATAGAGCCCTCATTCTTCACAAAGGGGACTCAAGTGAAGAGAGAGAAGAAGGAAAGAAGAAGAGAAAGGGGAAAGGGAAAATCCTCTCCTCCTCGACCACCGCCGGAGCTCTTCCCGCCGCCTGAATACGTCGGAACTCTGCCGGATTTTCGGAAAATGGCGGTATTTTGCAGAACTTTGTAACTTTGTTAGAAACTGATTGTAAACTGATTGTCTCAACTTGTGAGACGAATCGGTCTTTGTACTTCAAACAAACACTAGTGAAATTATGGGGGTGCCTTTCTCATACAAGTTCTGAGAGAAGCATGACAAAAATCATCTTTGCAAAAGAAAATTTAATCGAAGATCTTACCCAGACATGGTATCAGATGAGGAAGTTTTCTTGAATGAACTAATGCACGCTAATGTGAAGGATAAGATGAGAAAAATCTTTAAATCATCTAACTCGAGGTGAATAAGACCTTAACAAAGTTCATAAACTCCAACCACTTGAAAAATAATAGAAGAAGCATGAAAGTGCAGGAAGATCTTGTTTCTTTCTCTTTCTAGTTTCTTTTGACTTCTAACCTGTATGTGTTTTGCAGAGGGTTGGGTTCATTAGGCAAGGGAATATGGATTTTCATAAGGCAAATAAATAATTTGATTGATGCTAGATCCAGAAAGAACTTTTGGATTGCGTTCATTAGGCAAACAAATAAATAAACTCATTCCTTGAAACCTAACCATATAGTTATCATGTCTCATTGTCCTAACCTTTGTGGATCCAACCTGTTATTCTCAAGCTAGCAAAGAGCTTGTTTTCTGACAAGCAATGTCAAAAGAGTTTGAAGCTCTTCAAAATCAGGGCACCTAGACTTTGGTTCGTCCTTCAACGTCTCAAAATATTTTAGATAGCGAATGAATTTATAAAACAAAACATAATTTTGATTGTTCAATTGCTAGACATAAAGCTTGCCTTGTTTCTCAAGGCTTTAAGCAAGAATATAATTTAGACTATTTAAACACATTTAGCACAATTGTAAAATTGCCTACCATTCGCATTCTTCTCATCATGGAACTGACCCGTAAGTGGCAAATACTGCAATTGGCTCCCTCAAATGCATTCCTACATGGTACACTTCATGACACTAACTATGACTCAACAACCCAATTTTCAAGATCCACAACATTTGGATTATGTTCGTCTCCTAAAGGGATCAATTTAGGGTTTAAAACAATCTCCTCAACAACGTTTAGTTACTTTTTCCACACATTTACTCAAATTTGGCATCCAAACTAGCATGGTAGATCCTTCATTGTTACTCTACCATCAAGAACAATTTTCTACCTGTATTTTGATATATGTCCATGATATCTTATTAATGGCAATAATAACTCTTATTCAGCAACTTCTTGCTGATTTAAATCAAGCTTTTCAGCTTAAAAAATCATGTAGTTGTCCACTATTTACTCAGTATTCAAGTTTAACAAACATCTATTGGTCTTCATCTCACTCAATCAAATTATATTGTTGATTTGCTGTACAAAGCTGGAATGACAACCTGCAAGTCACTTGCTATCTAATGCCCACCAAGTTTCACACTTCAACTGATAGCAATGAAGCTTACACTTATCTTGCTCACACAGGCAAATTGTTGGTTCTTTGTAGCATTTAGCAATCACTCGGCATGACATGGCATTCATAGTCAACAAACTTTACCAATTTATGCAGCATCCGCTGAATTCTCACTTTCAGGTTCTCAAAAGATTTCTTAGGAACCGATTCAATCAAGCACTCTTATTCTTCATGCATATTCTATTTTAGATTAGGTTGGAGATCCTATAGATCACAAATCAACAATTGGTTATTGTGCCTATCTTGAAAAATACATTAGTTTCTTGGCAAGTTAAAAAGCTAAAAACCATTGCTCGATCACCTACTAAAGCTTAATATAGGGCATGAGCAACTGCTCCCATAGAGCTTATTTGGTTGCATCATATTCTGCAAGAATTTCAAATTCTCCTTCTTCAACCAACTGATCTTTATAGTGGCAATATATTAGTCATCGTGCTTGTCAATAATCCGATCTTTCATGCTAACAACAACAACAACAACAAGCCTTTATCCCACTACGTGGGGTCGGCTACATGAATCCTTTTTCTCCATTGTGTCCTATTAAAAGTCAAATTCTCGTTAAATCTAATAAAGAAAGGTCATTCCTAATATTTTCTAGCCAAGTCTTTTTAGGTCTACCCCTCCCTTTCCTAACATAAGTCAAATCTAATACCTCTACTCTCCTAACCAGGTCATCAGAAGGCCGCTGTTTTATGTGACCAAACCATCTAAGGCGACTCTCTCTAATCTTATCTTCTACTAGAGCTACTCCAACCTTTTCACGTATATGCTCATTTCGTATCTTATCTCTAAGGGTAAAGTCACTCATCCACCTGAGCATCCTCATCTCTGCCACACTTAACTTAGTATTATGCTTCTCTTTTAATGGCCAACATTCGGCACCATAAAGCATTGCAGGCCTCACTACCATCTTATAGAATTTTCCCTTAAGTTTGATGGGTACATTTCTATCACATAACAAGCCCGATGCATTCCTCCACTTCAACCATCCAACTTGAATTCTGCTGATAATATCCCCGTCTATTTCACTATCACTCTGAACAATAGATCCAAGATATCTAAAACGTGTACTCTTATTAATGACTTGATTGCCCAAAGTCACAATCCCCTCACTAGGTATATTACTACTAAAATTACACTCCATATATTCCGTTTTAGATCTACTCAAGCGAAAACCTTTAGACTCTAAAGTTGACCTCCATAATTCAAGTTTACCTTCAACTCCCTCTCTAGTCTTATCAACAAGAAGAATATCATCAGCAAAAAGCATACACCAAGGTACATCCTCTTGTAAATGTCTAGTGAGGACATCCATGACTAAAACAAAAGGATATGGGCTTAAGGCTGATCCTTGATGTAACCCAACCGAAATAGGGAAATACTTGGTCCGTCCACCTTGTGTTTGAACACAAGTAATAGCTCCTGCATACATATCTTTAATGATTTGAATATAAGCATTATTGACTCCTTTCTTTTCAAGAACTCTCCATAGCACTTCTCTTGGAACTTTATCATATGCTTTTTCTAAATCAATAAATATCATATGTAGATCATCCTTATTTTCTCTATATTTCTCCATCAAACCTC